CCAGCTGTCATAAAATCATATTAACATGATCTGGTTGGTCTATTGAATGTTTCTAAGGAAAATATTGGGGATAAAGTAATATTGTGTTCAGTGTTCAACCATTTCATTTTAAAATTAAAATTCTTCCATTTTATCCTCGTTGTTTTTTATTGATAGAGAAATAGATTATTTTGATACAGTATTTTGTCATGCAATTAAAAATAAAATATGACGGTAAAACTTTCTTTGTTAGACCTATCTAATTGAGTAGTTCACTACAAGTCCCATAATAGTTAAACACAGAAAACGTATCTACTGGATGACGATCCGAGGGCGTCAATCATGTACTTATGTACATGATTGACGTACATGTACAGAGCAGGCCAAAGAAATAACCATTAACAATAGGAATTTTTGTTAGCTGTAGCGCAGGCTGGATAGATTATAATATTATTATTTTGTATTTAGAACTGTGTAAAAAAGAGGATTGTTGTCAAAGGAACATCGGGAAGTTCTGGACGAATCTTCTAGCTGAACGCACACAGTAAATCTTTAATTATAATTATATTCCGATAGATGTTCAAGCCCGAAGTGACGTCTTAGCAGCATACACGATGGAGATTGTTATTTGGAAATGTTGTTAATCTTGATGTTTATAATGAGATATATACAACGTTTATTAAATAAATACTTTGTTTGTCTATATGTAGGTTAGGTAGGGTTATAGCTTAAATAAATAACTAGGGATGTAGTTTAAATAAATAACTAGGATGGTTAATAAGAAAATACATTTATTCTCACTAGTTCGATTCATTAGTTCGATCGTCGAACTAGTGAGAATTTTTTTTCTCACTAGTTCGACCGTCGAACTAGTGAGAGTATTTGTTCTCACTTGTTCGATTTCTTAGTTCGATTATATAAATTGTTTGCTTAGGGCGTGATTATAGTCTGACCTTTTTGATAGGTTTTTGGCAGATTAAAGTCATAGCCTCCTTGGTAGTTTGGTCTTTAGTAGTGTAACAGCTACCGAGCAGTATATGGCTAGCCGATAGTAAAGGCTGCAGCCCGATTCAGAACTCTTCGATATTTTAACCGAATCGTTCGATGGGATATCGTTCTCGAATCGAAAGCTTTCCGAGCTATTCAGAACATTCGAGTTAAACGTTCGATTCGGATTCATATACGATATCATTATCTATTTATATGGTCTGTGTCGTTATCCAACAGCGTTTACGGAGTTAGTCGGTGAAATAGATTATAAGAAAAATGAAAATCCTTTTACATACATTTTTAAGACTTCAAAGTCCTAAAATATAGGAACTCATTAGTCTTGCATTAAAATATAATAAAAGTAGAAATGTTTATTTTAAATAATAAGATATTTCCATATCACTGTTTTGCTTATCCAACAGGACGTTCAGTGACTTTCATTCAATATCTGTGTTCTGCATAATTGTGTTCTGAGTTGTCTTTACCGATCGGGAAGTTCGTGTAATCGTACGGGTGTGACGTCATTTCGGTTCGGCTTCGAATACGACAGTTTGACGTTCGATTCGGGTGTTGTGAATAAAAATGAAAATAAATCGTACGATATCAAATCGAATCGGTCGACAACTGAGTTATCGTAAGGTTTTGAATCGACCCCCTGATCACATATCGTCGCTTAGCAAACAAGTTAGCATAAGTAATTTCAAGTAATTTTATAGGAGCGTGAAAAACATGCATATATTATTGTATATAAGGTTTTTATAAAAAAAAACTTTACCTGTTATCAGTAATAAATTAAAATTAACGTTACTATGATTACTAACAATAGATAAAAAAATATTTTTTACAATTATATGTGCAGGTTTTTTACGCTCCTATAAAATTACTAGAAATTAGTCAAGCGGTGTTGTTTGCTAAGCGACGTTATGTAAATTTGCATATCATAGGTAGGGCACTATGTTACAGTGAGATCCCCTATGTTACAGAGAGAGAGTAAGATTATATTCCTCGTTTAAATATTAAATAGTACCTCTCACTGCGTTACAACCGCGGCTATGCTCCGATAGTACCTACCAAAAATAGTAGTTTGACTTAGAATGTGATTTCAGTATTGCGATTGTTACTATATTACTCTCGTGCGAGAGAGCTCAGTTCTCAAAGTGATAGGGGAGAGGTTGCACTCTGATCTGCTGCTACGTTCACCGAACTTCACGTCCTGGGAGCTCGGTGATCTTAGCAAGTCTCGTGTAGTATCTGACCGTTAATTAAATTAATTTTATTTTTATCTATAACTTTTCTACTAACAACAGAATAAGATAAATTTATAAGTATAGGTAGGTAGGTATACTAACAATACGGACTGTAAATTGTCTGCAATAAATGATTTAATGTAAATAATATATTAGTAGCAGTAGAGCTCCTTTCAAAAGAATTCGTCCAGGGAAGTACTGCCACCTTGCCTATTTCTGCTGCCAAGCAGTAATGTGAAAATTACTGCGTTCCGTTTTGGAAGGGTAAGGGTGTTGCTGATGAAATTACAGGCACATAGGACTTGTTAACATATGTCAGTGACGGGCGCAGTGGCAGTGCCCCTCAGATCTTTGCGATTTAAAGCTCTCACTGGCACTGCAACGGTTATGCATAGCGTGTCGCTTACCTCTAGGAGTAGGTACGACTTGTTCGTTCCGTCACTTAGTATAATAAACTGTTCTAATATGAAGTTAATTGACTATCACGATGTTTTACTACCAAGATATTCAATTATTTTTTGTAAATTTACTACACTTGTTTATTATTAGTATTAATACAAAGATCGAACACAGAGAAAAATTCGTTCAAAACTGTAGCAGAAAACTAAGCGCACGCAAAATCACATGTAAATTTAAAACAGCGGACCTTTCCGTACAAAAAATAAAATTCATATTTCAATATAGTCACTCGTATATTCACATTTTCATCTCTTATAGACGTATATTTACACATGTACAATTGTAAAAACAACAGCCCCATTTACACGATTAAACTACGTTACATAAAACATTTCAGAAAGAAAAGTAGGAAAATTCGTATAAGGTCGATTCCATAAACCTTTGTAAATGCTCGATATTGTTCGTTATGAGTACAAATTGTGCTGTTAATTGCTACAAACACTGTAATGAGGAAACCTACTTCATTTTTGTACTACTCGGTAATTCGAATATTACTTTTAAAAGAATAGTTTGATAATTAATATATCCTCTGTTCGGTGTTTAGATTAATTTAACATTTAACGATTTAACGGCTTAACAAATCGACCTTATATTCTTTCACAAATTAAATTGTCTTTAAGAAGAGTTTATTCTGAAATGCTTTTATATGGGACGTCATTAGCACGATTCAGTTCAAAGCGTTAAGGTCAGACCTCACTTGTTAGCACGCTTGATGCTAAAGTGTGCTGAGAATATCCCATATAGGTCACACGTTTAACCCGTTCATGAATAGTAACAGCGTAATCCGTAAAAAAAATTTTAGAATATCGACACCTCCAATGAACACTGCGCCAACATAATTTTTGGACCTGTTCTGTTTTTATTTTGATTTCTGTTTCTTTATTTTATTTCACAAAACTCGTTTTTTTGTTTTTTTTTTCGAATTTTGTTTCTTGTATCTTCATTCTTTTGTCCATAACATTCGGAGAACATAATATTAGTAAATAAATGTGGCTGTTTACAAAAATAACAGAAAATGATAAAAAAAAAAAAGTTGGCACAGTGTTCATTAGAGATATCGATATGATAGTACGGGGTACCCCGTTTCGCTATATGGATCTCAAAAAATCACTACGGGCTTTACAGTGCGATTTCCAAGTGATTTCTATGTAGTTGCCGCCTATTGCTTTTCCATAGAGAAGTATCAACAAGGTACTTATAAAATTCAACGACTTACACACATTGAACATTTTAATTAAATCAATATAAGCACTACGGCAAGAAAATTACTGACATTTTTGTGTGCGGTACTATTTAAGTAAAGGAAAGGTTAAGGAGTCACCACACTTATTAACTACGCTTGAGCCAGTCAGAAAAAGCTCTATGTTCTTAGCGAAAAAGTCGTGCGAAACTTTCGCGTTTCGCTTCCGCTCGAACCGCCGCTCATACGAAACGTACAATGACTTTTTCGCTCTTATTACATGGACATAGAAATTTATCGCGACATCAGTGACTTAAAAGATTTTATTAAAAATAGCATCGGGCTCTATTGACTGTCCGAAATTGCTATCACAAGTATCACTGAGAGCTCTCTCTAAGTGTCATAAAAACAATTCACTTTTGGTTCTACCCCCGGTCCGTACTAATTACACGCAAACCGAGTTTATGTGGCGTGCAAACAATAATTTTAACATTTTATGTAATACTTTTAATCTGGATATTTCCAATACGATTGTGACTTCCGCTATGAGAGCACGGAGTGAGCATTTCTTTGATTCTTAGTGAACCTTACAACTGCTGTGATTTATCTTTTTTTATGTTTTATATAATGAGTTAGGTAAATTGTGCACCCAGATTCCTCATATTTTTATTTGTGAGGATCTTGGTTCTCAATTGTTACTATTATAAATTTATTTTTCAGTTGTTGATCTTCCTTTAAATAAATAAAGCATTTTCAAAACGACTTTAAGCGATTTCATGTCGATAAGTGTAGTACTACCCTAATGAGGAAGCTTTGATCAAATGATCAAAGCTTTCATCATGTACAGACTAAAAACTTAAACAATGTAGATTCTCACTACGCCAGAGCTTGAGAGATCAACATACCTTCGTCAAAACTAAAATAAACTGTAGGTAGTTATAGTATTTATGTTCAAAATAAAAAATCTTCTGCTAAAATATATTCATAAACAATTGGGTCAAAAATCAATTGAATAAAAAATAAATCAAAAATGTCACTTCTTGACTTACAATTTTAGGATCGGCAGATTTAAGCACATAAGGCAAAACAATACTTATTTTTTTATTAAATATATCTTTTTTATTCATTAAATATTTTTGGTGTTGTTTATAAATCCGGCATTATTAAGAAGGGTGAAGTGAAGAGAATGATAAGGGTCCAAAAAGACGCCACTAGAATTTAAGTTGAATCAAATGATTTTGACTTATGTGCTTTAGTCGGTCGACTCCCAATTTCACGTTGTTAACAAAAACAATAATCAGTCTATGTATAAATTGTGATTACAATTAATTAAATGTAAGAAACACAAAATTAATTTAAAACCTCGTGGAATTGTTATTTCCAATATGAGAGTCCAAAATAAGTCTACTGACCGTCTGCTTGTTTCTGATTTGTGGTTTGGCACTGTCAAACGTGTTTGGCACGCCAGTCGTTTGTTCAAACAAAATAACGGAAGGAAAACCTAGACTGCAGTAATTTGATATAGTTCAGGTTCACTATCAATATCATTTCTGTCGCCAAACTTATTAACCCGAGAGAGCACGAAGGTGAGGAGAGACCCAATGCTGCCGTTTAAGCTTTGTTTTAATTACCAGCCAAAAGTGATTTATTATGGCAACACAGTCACATATCTGACGGATAATTAAAAGAACTAAAGCAAATGTTAAATAACAAAGAGCAACCCCTAGAGTTTCGTGCTCATGCTGCTCAAGGGAATCATTCCTTACAAAATAGAGTTCAATCAATGTGACGAATTCAAGTGTAATTGCTTACCTTTGAAGTAAAGGCTATATGACTTTGAAAACAGTGGTTTTAAATGGCATCACTGAGCCTTCCGGCTAGGCTTTCTTTTGCCTTGCGTGCTTAACCGGCTGATCTTTGCAAACATGAAAAACTAATAACTTTGTATATGCGATAATGTTAATACAATAGCTAAAATATCTCGATGAACAATTTGGACTTTGTTAGATTCAAATGTGTGAATAAAGCTGTAAAAGTGAAGTAAGACAACCAATTGCAATTGACCAATTTGCATGAACGATCGTTTATGAAACAAACGATGTAATTGATAAAAGTAGGACAATAGAGAACAATTCATGTTACTTGATCAATTGTAAATGACAGTCTGGTCATTGCTGCTGTTTAGATTTATTTTCACGCTTTACAAACTTTACTGTTTATCTTCGAGAACAAAGAGAAAATTGTGAATTGAACGGACTTTGAATAGTAAATTATATATTATTGTAAAGCCAGGTAATATAATTGATACTAATCCAGTCTTAATTACTTCTTTATACTGTAAACACCTATAAACATCTATATCTTTAATAAAGTTCGAGGCACATTCAATATACGTATAATATAATAGTCATGGAGGAGCTACGGCTATATGTACATAAGTATAGCTTACTCTAATATGGCAGTTGTTGAGGTTTTAAACAATAATATACAAGTATTTTCTCACATGATCAAGGTATTGATCTGTAAGTTCAGGATCTTGTAAAATATTGTTTGAGCTACAAATATTTGGGAATTGATGATTGGTGCATATGCACTTGATTATTAAGTTTATTCTCTGTTCAACATTTTTCATTTGCCAATGTATTTGTTCAAATCAAAGTGAATTCTACGCCGTAAGTACACAATTGTATCCCAAAGCAATATTTTCACAGTACAAATAAGTAATTCAAGATCAAACCAAAATCATGCGAAGACAAATAAACATCTATTATGTACAATCATAAACACTTTATAAAAATCAGTCTCTTTAATAATAATCAATTTCCACTTAGAAATCATTCGTCATACACACTTGAGGGTAACTTTTTAAGGCCTCTAACGTCCTTTCACTTTGTTCACTAATTTTAAAGTTTTTTATTGTCATCTTTTGGTGCAGTGAGGAATGCTTACACGAATCTCGTAAGCTGTGTGTGGAAGTCCCTTAGGAATATCTGGAGTTGTTGCAGCGTGGGCCGATCGTCGGGGGACATTGCCCAGCAATACGCCATTACAGCGAACCTATCAGTGAGAAAAAACAGAGTTAATCGATGTAGCCCAGCTTCGTCAGTTTAGGTGGCGCGAGGAAGTTTACATCAAACCGAGAACGCTAAATAGACAAAATATATCAGATAGTATGCAAATACTCACAACTCATCAGGGCAGTTCGCAGGTTGCTGCAATCTATAGCCGTCCCGCAAGTACGCGGCCACCTCGAATGGATCCACTTCAGCGTACGGCTGATGGGCTAACGTCGTTAGCTCCCATAGCAACACTCCTAGGGCCCAGACATCTGCAGCTGGGCTGAATTGCCTCTTGGTCAGTGCTTCTAAAGCTAGCCACTTAATAGGCCTGTTCTCATTGTCACCTAAACAGTGATAGTCTGCAGGGAAGAGATCTCTTGACAACGCGTTGTCGGCTATCATCACTCGTAGGTTTTCGTCTACACTGTAGAATAAAATCATAGTTAAGTAACTCAAATATTTATGACAAAATAAAACAAGATAAAAAATTTAAATCGTATGATTACTTACACACAATTCCTAGCAGCTATATCCTTGTGTAAGACATGCTGAGAATGTAGATAAGCCAAGCCATCTAAGGCATGTAGGGCCATTCGAACAACATGCTGAGTAGTTAATGGCGGTGGAGGAGCTCCTCCAGCCGCACCTCCTATCGTGACTCCGCGACAAGCCAACAAGAATTGCTTCAAATTCCTCCAACTAGCTCCCCAAGGATACAAAAGAAATGGAGCAGTTTGATCTTCAATGCTGACGCCGAGAACGGAAAGAACGCGTTCGTGGTGCAGTCCATAGAGCATACAACCTTCTTGAAGAAGTAATGATACCTATAACAAACAATAACATAGTTAGTTTTGCTTATTAAATTATTACCCGTACCTTATTTTAAAAATGTTTACGACGACATATTTACCTGTACTTGAGAAGCATGTTCAGCCACAGTTTTCACGAGAACCTCTTGTTCCCTTGCATCTTCATCTGCGTAAGTTCCTCTGTAAACACGGCCAAAGGTGCCTTCCATTGCCACAGACCGTAGTCTAACTCGGCATCTTTGGATAGTTAACTCAGCTATTCTCTGCTGCAGGTCTCTGGCTCGCTCCTCAGCTGCTGCTGCTGGTAGAGAAGCAGGTCGGCGGTAGCTGGTATAGCTGGCGGCGGACTTGCACGAGGAGTCTGGTAGGAAAGCATGTGCGTCTTGTTCATCGCTCCTAGTACGGCGAAGTTTCCTCGCTCGTGCTCTGCAAGCAGCTGCGCCAACGGCCGCTATCAAAAGCGCTCCGCCAGCACATCCTACTCCCGCGTAAAATATATCAGCTGATGTAGAAGCATGGGGAGCAGTGTCTACTCTAATTTGCTGCGTCGGAGTTTCTTTAAGGCAAATTTTTCGTCGACGGAAATTAAGTGTGGTAGACGACGGACCAGCAGAGACGTTAAGCGTGATAATTATATCCACTTCTGCAGCAACTGTATGCGTACAAGGTAAGTCGATTCGCCATGTTTGTGGTTCCGTTGGTACTTGACCTTTGTCGGAGATGTTGAAAGTCGGCGGGTGCATCGCCTCTGGATGCGACAGAACGTCCACGACTAATTCGTACGGTAACTGCAACAACGAAAAGAATATTATGTGTTTAGTAATATCATTATGCGCGACTCATTTGAAATGCATGTTGTACCTACATCCTAACGGCCCGAGCACGTCGTGATGTAACTGTAACAGTGAGTACGTGCGATTGACGGACAGCGGCACGCCTAACCAGCCTGCAGATGGATCACGGCACCCGAGATCAAATGTCGAAGAAACCGCGGTTGAGCACGAGTCTCGCTCCTTTACGGGATAAATGTATGTCGACAACCGACATAAACTACTGCTTCTAGGTACAAATCTCGAACATGGCCAACATTTGCATATAGACAGCTTTGAATCAACCAAGAATTTTATGTTTCCCTTATGCGGCTGACGTGGATGTATTGTAATTTGTAACATAGCTGCAACGTGTTCAACAGACCTACATCGAATCGAAAAGGATGGGAAGGTAGTTAAATATTATGATCATGATACGCTCATTATAATCTGACTAATCATCGAGCGGCGCTTGGAATGGTAAAACAAACAATATTCGCCGCGGGCTCTTTGTCCGTTGCATCAGACATGCAGCGGAGGCTCGCGGTCGCGGCTCGTAAAGGGCGCACCGCGTAGGTGCGACAGCGAAGCCGCTAATTAAATATTATCACTCGACAGTCGGTGAGTACAGACAATGCAATAGTGGCGCGATCGCTTATCGGCGCTAGTTAACCAGTTACCAAATATTTGTTTTGCCTAGTCAAAGGCGCCGCCGGGTAAATAACGGAGTGTAGTAGTGGCGCAAGGGCGCAGGACGCAGGCGGCGGTGATAGTACGGCCGCACAAAGCTCGCCGAGATGCTGATAACAGGCGGGAGCGTGATCGCCACTCGCCACTGCAACGCCGCACTGCCGCCGCGACAAGAAACAATTGACTGCAATATTTGCTTTGTAAATCTTTGCGCGTCGCGAGAATTTCAAACCCGAAAGTACCTATTTTAATCTTAAGAAATTACGCCACTCAAGCCTTGAAGGTATTTGGACACACAGCTAATCCGAAACTCTACGAAATCCTATTATCTCATGTCAGTATTCTTATGACTTGCCAATACAGTCCTAAATAAGCAGAACGTGTATTGATAAGTTCAGCGAACTTGTTTGTAGAGAGCATTTGAGATGCCTCTTTTGTAGCCCGACTGGTGGATATGTAAAGTGCGCGTCGTCGTCGACTTCCAGATCAAAATTCAATGTATCCAAGTATATTTCTTTGGGAACAACTTAGTTGTGTATGCCGCCGGCTGCGGGTAAAATAAATAAATGCACATAATATTTGGTATGATGCAGGATGCGGGGTAAACAAACAGTGGCGCGTCGTGTTTCCATTGAGAGTATTTGCATAGAAAGCGATTCGAAACTGGTAGACTAATAATATGAAATAAACAAAGATAACGAAGCACATCGGGTTTGGGTACATTCACAAATAAAATGATCAATCATAGAAATCGAACGACGAGCATTAAAGCCGATAAGTAACTACCAGACAAGATAGCCGATTCGATGATAATGATATTGTTATCGGGAACTATTTTACGAGCTATCTAAATTCAGATACGGTTCGTGGTACATTACCATAAGAATGGCTTGTTTGCGGGCCTGCGCCCGTTGAGAACCTCGGCGCGCTCGACGATTCTTGGAAAAATAAACTTTCCTCTCTTCTCCGAGTTAATTACTTCCACCTAGAGTTCTGGCGAGGATTGTTTTTCCATAAAACATACGATAAAAAGCTAGTTTTGATTTCTGTTTGTGGCAAACGTCCGGTGTGTCGAAATGAATAACTCGCGGATGGAATTATATTCAGACAGTATAACTCAATCGATGGATGGAATTATATTCAGACAATATAATACAATCGATGGATTTAGATTTCCTATGCAGCTCATGCATGTGATTACCATAATAGTGCGATTGTTTTGACCAATCAATTGTGCAATTAAAGTCCCTGTGCGGGCATCATTACATTGAAGACTTGTTGTTATTCAAATTGTCATCCTGTTGCACATACAAAATGTCCTATTACATAATATGAAATTGGCTTCTGAGAATTATTTATCGGTATTTATTGTTCGCACATGTGGTCCCAATGATAAGAAAGATTTATTTCAGTTCACAATGATTATTAATTAAATGGTCCCAATCAATCAGTATAGTGACACTATTAATTACAAGTCTAAATAGATTATTTTATCAAACAGTCATTCACCTCACGACATCTTGAATCAGTTAGTAAGATAACGCAGCAATTGAAAAAAATTGGCTCAATTTGAGCCAATTTTTTTCATATAATAAAATTTTACAGAAGTAATATAAATAGAAAATCAATATGATTTCCTTATGCCTTTCTCTGCATACACTTGAGACATTGGGTAGATCACTATTACCAATTTTCATCAGATCATTAGGACTAAATCTGAATTCCATAGAAGTAATTCTTACCGGTTTTCGGGCAAGACTTTGCCAAGTAAAATGGAGTTCCCCAATAGTGGCCGGCACTGGTACGACGTACTTCAAGGCGTAGAAGTTGATCTGCCCGTCTCTTACGTAGAATAGCTCTGCTGTGAGACCTGGAGACAAAAGAAACATAGTTTTATTTGTCAAAACCTCAAAAACACTAAATATGGAAGTGATTTTTTTTTATGATACCAACTGACCGATGACGGGACGACCAAGTTGTGTATCTGGTAAGCGACAGGCCTGTCTATAACAGTTGCAGTGTCACGCAGACATTGAAATCGCAAAACTCTTAGGAGCACTACCACTGCGCCCGTCACCCTGAGACATAAGTCGAAAGTCCCATGTGCCTGTAATTTCAGCACCCTTACCCTTCTGAACCGGAACGCCGTAATGGCCACACTATTGCTTGGAGACATACGTACGGTGGCAGTACTTCCCTGGAACTCTCTCACAAGCAGCTCTTCTGCTACTAAGTGTTGATATGGATATATCACAATACTATAACTAAAATGTCGGGCATATAATGCAAATAAGAACGCGACTACTAGGTATAATGCAAATGTTGAACAGAAATGGCATCAACAGAATATCGTGAAAGTATGAACGTAAATAGAAATAAATAATGAAATTTAAACGTTTTGGGTTTCCATCTTTAAAACGATTAAGACGTCTAAAGATATAACAAGGTGTAATGAACGACTAGCAGAAATTATGTAGGTTTATAAATACTCGTGCGAGCCGGCAACTTTTAAGGCCTTGGCAGATTTATTAATCAAATTCAAATCGTTTGATCTGAATGGAATATCTAACACCGCTTAATGAATTAATGTGCTTCGGCAACACTAAGAACTTGACCAAAAGAATTATCATATTGCGAAGGCACGTTTTCGAAAGTTTTCGGTGATTAAATTTCGGTGAATGATTTGTTAGGTGGCGTTGCATATATTCAAGCCATAATTCGCCACATTATCACAATTGGCCGTTAGCTTGGCAATGAAATGTTTCTAGTATGTTCAGCTTTTACGCTTTGGCACATAATATCATCTCGTAAATATCGTTACCAACTTCAGAATAATTTAATTGATATTCGACGCCCGACAGTCTGGTGACGATTTAGGATCTGCCATAGTTTGAACAGATCTAAGGATGGAAAGATCAATACATCCATCAACAATAACTGGCAAAAAACTGGATGCCCAAGCGTACAAAGCGAGCGGCGAGATCAAAGAAATCAATGATGCCGCAACACAACTCCTGAGCCACCTGTTCACAAATCATGGGAACCCATTTCATGGATTAATAAGGTAAATTGAAAGAGGTGCTACAAAATTTTCATTTAAGCTGAAAGGTCAGCCTAAATTAAGAATTATGTAGTAGGTATTGTAGTATTGGATAAATGAAATCTTAGTTGCTGTATAATTTAATTAGACTGAAAACAGACGCAAAATTATTAACAGGTCTCACTAAAACCTAAAGTAAACACCATAGCAGCAGTGACATTGATGACAGGAACCCGGTCTGTCTTAATTCGTAGTAGGTATATTATCCGAAATGAAACAATGATAACAGAAGTGGCTAAAGAAGTATTTGATTCTACTATAAAATAAAACGTAGCCTGCAACTATATACGCAGGAGTTGCAAGTTACAAAGACGAATGCATTGAAACAGTAACCTAACTGTCTTATTTTCGATCAATAAGCAAAGACCACAAGGTGGTCGATATGAAGTACCACACATTACATTGCATTTTTATTACTCTAATCGAATAACGTAAGCAGAGAAGCAGTGCAATGACGGCGGTGTGGAATTTATATTATAATTTACTAAATGATGACCTCGTTCATAACGTATCAAAGAATTATTGGAATAAAGTCATTTTGTGATCCCCGATACATAACAGGCAATATGTGTTGAGAAATAACTTAACAAGCTTATTAAAATAACCATTCTACCTACGTTTCGCCATTATCCCTCAAACAGGATGCTGCGGCGGCAAACATCAGTAATGTTACCAAAATCGATAAGGATTAGGCTATAATTTTTCTGCTTATTAAAATTCAACACCAAATTAAAACAGGCTTCAAATCCGATGAGAAAACATTGAAATTCAAAAACAACCTGCAACGTTTACTGCTGGATTTAATTATATCTGTACATATATTTTGGTCCATCATTAACACCAAAAAAATCGATGCTTTCTCGTATACTGTTGTAAAAAAAATCTCCGCCATATTGTCGACGATATTAGACCTGATTAAGCATTTCTTTTGTTCTTCTAACAACAAAATCGTGTTTTTAGGCTGTGACACAACGCCATATAGAGATATTAGTTTTACGTTACTTTCAGGGGCTTACGTATTTCTTTAAATTTTACAGTAAAACCTCGATATTCCGTATAACATATTGATATTGGTATTAGATATTCAAAACGAGTTTCAATATTATGACCGGTTTAGCCAGGACCTCGTTGCTGCCATCCCGCGGTTATGGCACTCTTTATTAACACTATTATCGTAAATTATTGACATCCTACCTAAACAAGGTTGTGGGTTTTAGCTATAATTGTGTGAATGTTAATAATGTTTAATGTAATAATTTCAACGATCTTTATTCTATTATTTTGAGATATGAAGACTTATCAACACAATTACAGAACCAGAATTTACTGAAACAAAACTTGGATCGTCACTTTTAAAAAGAGTGATATATGTTTTTGTCGAGTACATTTTTGTATATAACAGTGCCTATATATGTGATCAGAATCCATCGACCGATCAATGCGATACAAAGGCGAACCAAAATTCAACAACAAGTGGACCAACTTTGATGACCAAATTATGCGTATCCACGCTACAGAAACATGCAAATGGGTTATGGGTGCAATAAAATTAATAAATGTGACGACGTTAACATTTATTTGTTTATTCAAGATGATATCTCTAACGAGAAAAAAAGCCTTTAATTATATTACTGATGATCTGGAAATGCATGCATACTGAGCAGGTAAAGGCGGTACAATCGTGAGACGGTGGTGTAATAGTCTTGACGACCATCAGAGTAACTGTCAGGAAATGGCATATGATTGAGATAAGTGAAGAGATGGGAAGTTTGTAGAAGTGGGACACATTAAAAGTAAGTACGCAAATTACGAGTACTGTTAAAGTCTTTGAATCTAAATACTTTTATAGATAAGATAGTGTTTGTTCAACAGTAGTTATCACCTTATGCATATTTATGCAACCCCGGACTCGATCAACCGCAAATGGGATCGTTCACTCGACAAATTAGTCCGATAACACTTGTTAATTAGTGGAAATTATTTTAAACTCTTGATAAGATACGATTAAGTGTATTATGGTAGCACTTTAATGGTATGTGCTCAGTTTGAAAAAAAAGAATATAAGAACGAGTTCGGAAAGACAAGGCGGACCAGAATAATAAAAAAAAATTTAGAAAAAAAACCGACAGTAATTGGATAACAATCTATATAATTATAAGGGACATTTAAAAAGCAGTAAACTTATATTATTACAATTCGAGAACTTGTTAATAAATTGTTTCTGTGAAATCAAACTCTGAATCAGATTAAGATTTAATGACCACCCAGTCAAGACATGCGAGGCACGAGAAGCACCTACGAATTCTGATGAGGCAATAAAGATGTGACGTAAGAAGAGATTCTTTTGCATTCCCACAAAGGTAATAAGTGGCAAGACCCGGCTACCGTATGCGGCGCCTTTGATGCGGCGGCGGCAAAAAGAAGAAAACCACTTGATACGACAAATAACTAGAGATAACCGGCACCCGACACTCAGCACCCGCCTCCTTCGACGACCGCTTTTTGTTGCTTATTCAAACTAATTTCTGAAGACACTAACGGCGCTTTTTATTCCTTATCGTGGATTCTTTTAAAATATATTTCAAGTATCCTTACAAACCCCATATACCTTTTTTAAAGTGCACTATCTAACCAAATATAAGTCATGGTACTCGTACCATTCCTCGAAATACGTGGAAATCGCTGAGATATTTCACCTCATACCCATCTTCGTGAATAGGGGGTTGGTAGTGAAATATTAAATGATTATGTGCAAGAATCTTACACGAGAAATCGCGTGTTCCTTACAATACTGGCACCATTCGAATAAAACCTTCATTACACTCGACAAAAAACCCCATTCGTCGTGAAATAAAGTAGACCGTCGCACAATAGACGATGATATTCGTATAGAAAGTCCCCTCTTGGCGAGGCGTCAGGCATAAAGATTTTAGGGTATAACAGCGGCATTATTGTGGAATTATGCGGACGAGGCGTGCAAGAAAATAAAACAAAAGTGCAAAAGAGGTGTGCGGAGTTATGCACTCGAATCCGTCGAGTGTCACAAACTCGACGCGGCGGGTAAAAAATGTCGTTTATTATTGCACCCACACGTTGCATACCTGCAGATGCTATGATAGGGAAAGAATGCACCAAGTAATAAAAAGGTTGAACGGAAAACCGCTAGATCAACAACTGTTCAACATTTTACAGCGTTGCCACATCCCATGGCTTCTGATGATAATGGTAATCATAAAACGTACAATGTGTTAAGAAAGCATAGAATGAGTCGTAAAAATCTTCGGGAATGCATAAAACGCGTATTTAGGTAACATGTTGCAATGGTGACAGTTTTATTGTAGTAGTACCGCTTGGAACTCTTTATAAAAGAAATTTAATAAGGCGACGTGCACGATTGAAAAAGTAATTTTGTATCATCTTATTCAAATCTTAAACATCTCTACGGCACATTGAATTCAGACAAAGTAAAACTTTCATAACGATAAAATTTAATTTAAGATAATTTATCGTACCGTTCGTAAAAACAAAATGACTGTCACCTAGTTATTTCTGAATGTCATAGTGAGCACAGCTTTAGTGTAGTTTACATAGCGCAGAGGCAGAATGTGTAGACGAAATTAGCCGGTTGTAAATCTGCGACACGGCCCTCTGTGTAATTTGTCCAATGCAGTAAACAACTATAAAGCGTTGCTATTGGGAGACACGTGCGTCAGGGCCGTGTCATCGGTGGCAACGTGCACCAGCCGTGTGACTGTTCTTGATATTTATGT